TCTCCAGCTCTCCTGGAGATGCTGCCCGAAGAACCCAGCACAGCTGTAGGGGCGGGATTTGTACCCACCCTTCACAGCCAGTGCTCACTAACACCCCACCCACCACCACCACCATTATGCTCACTCAGTAACTCTCCTCTCCGCTTCTCACCTCCTTTTATTGCCAACAAATCCTTTCGCTCCTTTTGGTCTTCCATATGTTTAGGCATATGTTCTGCTGCCTTGTAGCTTGTAAACCATGATTTCAGCTTCCTTATGACCCCTGTTTCCTCCTGGTCCCTCTATGTGTGTCTTTTCAGATTCTCCTCTACCCAGTAATTGCTCAGTTCCATCAGTTTCAGGGAGGTTTCAGGGAGCTACATGGCGAGAAAATCCTGTGGCTGGGCTTTGAAAACTGACCAAGATCTGGGGAGAAAGAAGAAAGTCATGGTATTTCTTGGATAGAAAAACCTAACTTGGAGATGTTTCTGGGGCAGGTGGAAGACTGATTCTCCAGAGCAGGAGAGTGTGCTACAGATGACCAAGAGAGCAATGAACTTGGAAGGTAGAGTGGCACTGATTACAGAAGCTTGGGAAATACGGATCTATTGAAGGCTTTTGAGCAAATCACTCCTCTGGCCTCTTCATTATTTCTATAGCCACGTCCGCTTTGTTTGAACCCTGGTCTTGCATTTACCCAATTAGCCAGATATTTCTTGTTCCTAATTTCTCTCCACTTGTTCTATTGCACCAGTTTTGGGTGAACCCTGTTGGGCTCATGATAAAAAGTCACCTGAGACACACTACTTGCCTTTGTCCTACGGTCAAGTTACATCAGCGGTTCTCAAACCTATCAGACTCAATGTTCACTTTATAAGAAAGAGTTCCATAATTTCTTCTTTTACTCTCTTGAAATAAAATTTGTGTGTAATATGATGGATCTACACACCTAATTGTATGGGATGAACTATATCCCCTCAAATTCATATGATGAAGTCTTCACCCCAGTATCCTAGAATCTGCCTGTATTTGGAAATAGGATCCTTACAGAGCTAATTAAGTTTAAATGAAGTCATATGGGTGGGCCCGGAACCATTATGACTGCCCCTCACATGAAGAGAAAATTTGGAAACAAACACCTAGGGAGAGAAGACAATGTGAAGACCCAGAGAGCAGACAGCCATCTATAAGCCAAGAATCTGAAACAGATTCTTCCCTCACAGCCCTCAGAAGAAAACAACCTGTGGGCACCTTGGTCACAGGCATCCAGCTTACATTACTGTGAGAAAATCCATCTTTGTTGTTTCTGCCTCCCAGTCTGGGCCGCAGCAGCCCTAGCTAAATAGTACACTAATGATACATATTAGTGTAGCTAAGTAGTACACTAATGATACATACTAGTGTAGCTAAGTAGTACACTAATGATACATACTAGTGTAGCTAAGTAGTACACTAATGATACATACTAATGCCGTACTGTAATGTAAAGAAGAAATAAATGGAATGTAATTTACAATATAATATAGATTTCCATTTGTAAAGGCTCAAGCACAGCTCTACCAAAAGGCAACATTTACACCAACACCATGCATGCAGCCAGCTAGGAATCACAAACGCAGGCTGACACCTACGGCTTGTGGTACTGGCAACTCAAATGCCAAATTTGGAGCAGCATTCGCATTGGTACATCATTTTCTGAAAGAATGAAAAAGTCTTGGTGAAGTGCCAAACAAAACAAAGAACAATCTTCCTTCAATTTAAATGGTAGTTACGTTCCCGGAGAATTCAAGAACTACGTTGTATTTGTTTGTAACACAGGAACAGGTGCTAGGCGCAGATAATTATAAATAGGTTTTCCAACGACATGACTGTCCTGTGGAACGTTTCAAAGTCACAGCCAGTTCTTCATTTTTCTGTACATGTTGCAGATGGCAGGAGGTTTAGCATCCCTGGCCCACATCCATCTCAATCATCGTGACAACCCCAAATGCCCCCTAGTTTATAAATATTTCCTAAATGTTCCCTAAAAGGGAGTGCCACTTTTGTTGAGAAGCAGTGAGATATAAGAAAAAAAAAAAATGATGCAATTTATGGCTATCTTTTGGTGTTGGTCCTACCCCATTCCCACTCCCTGCCAGAATCACTCCAGCCTGGAGGCAGAGACCTGGGGACAAGGTGACCTGGGATCACACAGTCGAGCAAGTGGAATGCACCTTCTGAACTGGTATTGCTGAAAGCCAGCCTGGACATTGACCTTAAGCTTCATGCAGAAAAAGGCTCCTTCGTTTGCTCAGACTTCGGAGGCCTCAAGGCACTTGAAGCTTGCTAGAGTCTAGCAGCTGTGGGCCTGCCTCTCTCTGCGTGTGTTTTGGGGGTTGGAAAGGGCTAAGAGGGTTGCTGTGATTACAGAGGCTGCTGTGGGTCAGAGCACAGCCCGGGAGAAGCATCCCGACAAATCCTGCTGTTCATCTCCCTGCTCCTGTTCCTGGACTACTGACCATTCATTGTTGGAGAAAATCACATGAGCCAACAAGTTGGTCCCACCAGAAAGCTATGATTTCCAACCATAACTGGAGCCTGAACAGTGCACCCAAACCTTTGTCCCACTCTGTCTGTCACCTGGGCATGTTCCTGACTGTGCTTACTCTCAACCTTTCCACTCTCTTCAAGCACTCAAATCCCACCTTGTTGTCACACTAAGACAACCACGGTCATTGTCCTGAAGGACGTTCCTCCTTCTTATCTCAAGATTTCTTTTCCTCTTGCACAGGAGGAAGCAAAGTCCATTTTGTTGCCGGTGGCCTGTGCTGCCTATGTCTCCCCCTTCCAAGGGAACATGCTTCATTGATTAAAAAGCTTCTGTTCCCTTCAACTGCCTTCTCATCTCATCTTTGCCTGAAACTGTGCTAGGTGAGTCAGAACCCTTTGGTTGCAAGCAGTAGAATCCAACTTCAATGCACTATACCCAGAAGTGGCTTTTATTCTAAAGAACCAAGGATGTTTCAAGAAACCCAACGGCAGGAATGCCATTGTCTCCGGAAAGGACTTGAACATGAACTGCAGTCATCAGCACTCTTCCCACCCATCTTTTCTGTTCCTCTTTAGTTGCATCATTTTTTCTCTCTTGTACACTTGCTTCTTGTGGCTTCATATCTGCAGAATCCCAATTCCATGAGAGAGAAACTTACTTGCCTAGCTTGGATCAGGTTCAGCCTCCTGGCAAGTCCAGCTAAAATGGCTTAATAGGGGCCAGCTTTACCCTCTTGCCTGAAACAAGTAAATGCACAAAATATAGAAGCAATGTGTTTTGAACGTGGGTATCAGTAGGTGTAGGACAGTGCTCCATGAGAGAAGAAACAGAGAAGATGAGCTTTATAATTGCTCCAACTTGCTGCCTGGAGAGTTTCCAGACTGCGGCACAAGGGTGGGGAACCCAAGAGGAGCTCAACAGTCTCCCTGAGTTGAGAAAACAGAGCTTGGAATTCAGGGAAGACATGGTGGCTAGAGGTAGCAGGTCAGAAAATCAGAGAGAAGAGAGCTGGAGAGAAGGGGTGGGGGTGGGGGGACTCACTGAGTTTCAGCTGAGTACTGATCAGTACATCCCTGTAAAAAAATATATTAGAAGCCAGGAAAGAGCAACCTAAAAGGTGCAGAGGGAACACTCCTTGAAGCTGTCACTGGGCCTGAAATAGTTTGTTTCCACCAGTCAGAATGGTAAGTCTTGTAATTCACAAGGTATCCAGTGGAATACTCAGAGGGTATCACCTCAGTTTTGGGGAAACATCTAGGCCCCAAGCCTGCTCTGGTCCTACCTTAGACCTTAAAAGCAAACCTGAAAGAATCCAACTGTTTCCAAGTATCTCAACTGCATCCCAGAACAAAGTTCAAGATTACTTTAGGAACACAAAAATACCCAGCACCCAAGGTAAAACTCAAAATTCTGGCATTCAATCAACCCTTTGGCCAAAGAAAGGAAGGAGAAAATAAAGAGGAAGGAACTCTGCTCAGTCTGTCTCAGAAATTCTCTGGATGTTATCCTTTCTCCTTTCCCATCACAAGGCCATTATTATTTTCTTCTTCACACACCAAGTTCTGCCTGGCTTATTTCAAGGAGCCTTCATGACTATTGTTATTTTAGAAGGACTCTGCAGACACATTAGGAAGATAAGAATACCAAACAAAAAGGGTGCGAGGGAAGTTTGCGCGCTTTAAAACCGACCAAGCTTTCTCCCTGTTTCCCTCGCCACCTCCTCTCAGAGAGTCCTCCGTTTCTTGAGGGACCCTGCCTTTCCCTCTCTGTCCGGACTGTTTTATTGAACACGGAGTGTGGTTCGTTTTCGGAGAAAATTGTGTTTCTTTTCTGATTTTACATCGGCAGATTTTAATGTTTCACGTGGACTTCTCAAAGAAGGGGTACTTCTCAACACCCCCTCACTGATAAGTAGTTCAATGCTTGTTGTTCTGCCCACCCCCCTCTCCTGGGGGCAATGGCCCGGGGTGGGTGAAGGCTCTCAGCCCCGCTCCGCTCCGTTTGCCTGGAACCCACCTGCCCTGTCCGTGGGCAAACAGAACTGCAACTTCGGCGCATCTGTCTACATGGCAAACAAGTCCTCAAACTCCACTTCTTTCTCAGGTGAAATCTTCCTGGCATCGAGTGGGAACAGGTTGTTGCCGAAGTGAGGGAAAGTGGAGGGGTGTCGGGGGAGGGCGAAGAACGCAGACGAGGAGAACGGACAGAAGGCGCCGGGCCGGTGCCCAGCCCAGGAAAGGAACGACCACTCGGCAGCGAGGGGGAGACGCGCGAGGCAAGCGACCGACCGCACACTAGTGGACCGGGGAGGGGAGAGAGAGAGGAGGCGCGCGAAGGCTGAACTCCCAGCAGCCAGACTCCGGATCGGAAGAGGGGAGCGGGGCCGAGGGGTTGGCAGGGGCGGAGGGGTCGGCAGGCGTGGGTGCTGCGGCATTCGTGCGGTCCGAGGGCAGACCGGGGGCTGGCGTGGCCCTGCCCGCAGCCAGCCGCGATGGGCGAGGCGAGCCGGGTGTGCTCCGGCTACTACAGCCTCAACCACAGCTTCGTGGAGCCCTTTCGGTGTCCCCGGCGCGGCGAGGCGGCCACCCTCCTCTACTGCTGCGGCTTCGCAGACCTCAAGTACTGCTGCAGCGAACCCGGCAGCTACTTCCCCTACAAACACAGCTACATGTGGAGCCTCAGGTGGGCAGGGCAGGTGGCTGGTGGGCTGGGGTCCTGGGGGGCGGTGGGCTGGGGTCCTGGGGGGCGATGGGCAGTGCCACAGCGGGCGGAGGGAAGTCGCCCGTGTCCCCCGAGCCGCTCAGGTCGGGTCCCTCCAGAAGGAGCCTCGGAGGGTGGGTGAGGGCTCAGCACAGAAACCCCGGCCCGCTTGGAGATGCCCCGGGAGCCGGGACTCCTCAGGCGAGGGTCGGGCTGAGGCCGCCAGAGGTGTGAATCCGCCCCGGGACCCCAGGAGAGGCGCGCTCTGGAGGAGCGAGGGCTCTGCGCCTAGGGCGCACCAGCCAGTCCCCGCTGCCCAGGCTCAGTTCCCCGCCAGCCTCACCAGAGTGGATTGCTCCCGGGGACCAGTCCCAGGCAGGCAACTCTGCTGGCAGAGACAAGACAACTCGAGGAGGTTTTAATTATCTTTTTTATTTGCTTGGGCATTTGGTGCATTTAAATAGAAAAGGGACCCATTTTTAAGCATTAACCAAGGTTCAGGGTATTTTAAGTCTCTTGGGAGGTGAAAAAGAATGGGCTGTATTTAAAATATCGAAAAGGTAGGGGTGTGCGCGCGTGCGTGCGTGCGTGTGTGTGTGTGTGTGTGTGTGCGCGCACGCGGGGGAGCAAGCAAGCAACTGGACTTTATAATTTGCTGTTTACATGTGATCTGACACTGACCCTGAACCGAACTGTAGACACACTCTGTAGAACCTTTCCAGGACACCCCCTTTCTAAACGGGGTGGCCATTGCTGAAGAGGCATTCTTAGGTGGGTCTTTCTTGCCTCTTTTTCCTATGGTGGGAATTTTACTTATTCCAACTAGTATTTATGCGGATATTTTTCATTATGAAGTGCTTCTTCTCCCCTTTCATTCCAAAGGTTTGCAGACTTTGAACTTGATTCTTTTCTTTTGCCTGGAGAATGAATGGGGTGTCAGACTGTAAGAAAGAACTCCCACCCACTTTAAATTGTTTCTTACTAAGGGGCAGGGAGCTACTACTAAGAGGAAGAATGCAGGGTGGGGCAAAAGCAGGTTTACAGCCCAGGGATGGAGAGCTTTTGTGGTGGCAGCAAAACTTGGAACCCAACTGGGCCCAGAGCTTCTTCACAAAATAATTGATGGCATTTGTAGCCAAACTTATGCTCTCTACCAGGATTATCATAGTGTTTGGGATTCCACAGAATAGATTCATGTTCTAGATGATATTACCACATTTTTATTTTTTTTAAAATATGTTTTATTGATTTTCTTTTTTTGTCAGAGAGACATAGAAACCTCATGTGAGAGAGAGATATTGATCAGCTGCCTCCTGCATGCCCCTTACTGGGGACTGAGCTAGCAACCGGGGAGCCATATGCCGACAGGGAATCCAACTGGGACCTGTCAGTCTATGGGACCACGCTCAACCCACTGAGCCACAGTGGCCCGGCTAACACATTTTTCAAAGCTGTAATTGAGTGAGAGCCCAGGGAGACTTCAGATGACTATCTCCTATCTTTGTATCACCTGACCAGCAGGACCTCTAAGCAGGACCTCTTGTGATAAACCATAAGCCAAGCTGAGAAAGCTGCACTGTTGAGATGACAAAGATAAACATTTATCAACTTCCCCAAATAGTGCTAAGTATTGGCCTATGTGTCCTCTCACAGAGATGTACTGAAATATTTTGCTTGCATTCTATGTTCCAATGTCTGTTGTGTGTCCCATTACTGCACGTATATTTTGGCAGCAAGTTAGGCATAGTTTATGCATATATTTCAATAGTTTTAATAAACAATCTCAGTCTAGCCAAAAAGAACCTGTAGTTGATAAAAGTTTATCTGATAAAGAGATATCTCAGCAATTGAATCAGTTTAATTCATTTTATCACAAGGCTTTCATGAAATGCTTGAAAAGTATGAAAGATGAAAGTAAGCAGGATCTGTTAGAAGTTAATAAGGTTAATATTTACTCTGCATCGCTACAGGATTTTGATTGGCAATTAAAGCTTGCCTTTCTATAGCAATTCTAAAATTGCTACATTACAAATGCCACTTTTAAACCTTCATCTAGATGTAAAAGAAAATGGTGAAGTTAAACCATATTCTGTTGAAAGGAGTAAAGAAGCAGAATCTAAAAAATTCCTTGGAAGCAGCTAATAAGGTCATCCTGCAGTTGAAATAATGAAATGATGAATACCAACATTATCAGATTCCACTGCTACAACTGATAGAACAGAGTGAATACTGTGCATTCTGAAAATTTGTGATATACCATATGCCAAGCTGAGAAAGCTGCACTGTTGAGATGGCAAAGATAAACATTTATCAACTTCCCTAAAGAACAGGAAATTAAATGGTTGACAGAAAATGCATAAAAATTAAAGATACAAACCTATAATGGCAACCTTTATTTTCATAATGATTGTTCTGCTTCATTTATTAAATATTGGAGAAATCTTTATAAATATAGTTTTACTGATAATTAAAAATAGGTTCCAAAGTATTGTAAACATACAAAGCACACAAAAACTTGTATCTTACTTTAAGAAGTATGTGGCCCTGGCCAGGTGGTTAGGTTTGTTGGAGTGTCATCCTGTACACCAGAAGATTGCAGGTTTGCTACCTGGTTGGGGTGTGTACTGGAGGCAACCCATCAATGTTTCCCTCTCACATCAATGTTTCTCTCTCTCTCCCCCTCCCTCTCCCTAAGATCAATGAAAACATATTTTCGAGTAAAGATTAAGGGGGAAAAAAGGATGTGAATGTCAACGATATATATTATGGTAATATGTATGTGATTAATTTATATTTAAAAAATAACTTTTAAAGAATTTATAAGCTGCACATATAACCCAGGAGATTCCATATCTTTCTCATATTTTAAAGGAAAGATTAGCCCTGGCCAGTTTGGCTCAGCGGTTAGAGCGTCGGCCTGCGGTCCGGAGAGACCCGGGTTCGATTCCCGCTAAGGGCACATACTTCGGTTGCAGTTTGTCCCCGGCCCTGGTTGGTCGTGTGGGTGGCAGCCACTCGATGTGTCCCTTCACGTCGATGTTTCTCTCTCTCTCTCCCTTCCTCTCTCTCCCTCCCACTCTGTACAAAAAATGGAAAAATATCCTCGGGTGAGGATAAAAAAAAAAAAAAAAAAAAAGGAAAGATTATAAAATGTAAAATTTCTTAGGGAAAAAACTCTTCAGACATGAATAGGAAAAAAAAAACTAAATATGTATGAACAACTTTGAGTTTATGAATTCTGGAAACTAAAATCTTGTATTAGAACATAGGAAAAATGTAATAACACTGCTACTTTTATATTTCTAGGTTTGATTGGGATAGTATCAGCTGATAAAAAAGTATATGCCATTGCGTAGTGTATATATTACTATTCAAATATCAGCTACAACCATATATATGCCCATTTTTGTTATAAACTCTCAATATTGAATTTAACAGTTTTGGATGTTAACTTTATTGGCCAACAAATCATTTTTTATTTCAGTTAAGTTTAAAGATAAGCATTCTGAACAAGTGAAAAATACAATTTCATTATATTAAAAAGTGTATTTACAGTTTTGAGCACACAAAACAGAGTTCATTCTTGTTTTACTATTTACTCAGTATTGTATTATTTTCCATACAAATCACTGTAAACCTACTTTTGTCCCACCCTGTATTATTTCCCCCAGTCTCCTAGGATAATCCAGAATTTGGCACACATGCCCAGTTTGCAGCAAATGACTTTAAATGTTATTTTCTGAAGCAGTAAAATAATTTTGCATGTATTGCAAGCTTCAAAAAAATCTCCAAAGGTGTGCCCACTTGCCAATGAGCTCAACTAACAAAGTTGTATTGTGTCACAGTGGGGCACAATCTCAAAAAATAATGCCCACTTATCATTATTTGGGAAAGCAATCTATATTGCACTTGCATATTATTTGGCCTTTTGGAAAATAACATAGTAACCCTACTCTGAATCTTTGGAGGTGTGAATAATGGTAGCAAAACCTCCAACAGAGATGGGCAACTCTTAAGGCAAACTCATTTTTTGACTTAAATCTCCAAAGTGCCTGGATTCTCATACCCCCAGCTCACTGCAAAGTGAAATGTAGCAGAGGCTAAAACCCTTCCTGAGGTTTATGAGGGCACAAAGGGATGAACAGATTGCTGAGGTCTTCGTTCAGCACTGAAAAATGGACAGTGCACCTCCTTTCTTGGGAAATATAAGAATGTTTTTAGCTGATGGCATCAGTTGGCAGTGTTAAACCTGAGGAGCTTGTTAGTTATTGAGCTCTGAGAACACACTGGGGAGGTTAAAATGTAGAGCTTCATTTCCCTCATATTCTTTGCTCTCCACCTCTAATTTAAAATAGTTCAACTGTGAAAAATATTGCAGAAGTCACTAGCATTTGTTCTAAAATTCTGCAGCTGCTAGAGAAAGACACAGGTATAGCTCCTACCAGGTAAGTCAAGTTGTTGAGTAGAATTGCCCCATGAACATGACAACAGCTCAGACCCTCTTTCAAGGACTGCCATCGGGTGCTATGAAGAAAGAATAATTCTGTCTCTTTTCTGTGTCTGGTCCACTTCCATCTTTTCTCTTCCTACAGATCCCTAACCTCTTAGTTTCTTTTGGTAGCTTTCTTCAGGACCTAGGAAAAGACATAATGTCTATTGCACAGGGACATGTATGAGTTCAGTAAATATTTGTTGAAACAAATATTTTAGGAGCTTCCCGGAGCTCCATCTTTATCTAGAGGTTTGCATGCATAAAGCAACGTGTCTATAACGTGGAACTGTGGCATTGAAACAGTTTGTCAAGATTGTGAAGAACCGCCTTTTAAACCAGAAAGCAGAAATAGCATACTCTGTTTTTGTTTTTCCTCCAAATCATGTAGACTGTTTTGTTGTTATTGTTGTTGTTGTTAATCCTCTGCCAAGGATATTTTCCCATTGATTTTTAAAATAAAGTGGAAGGGGCGGTGGGGGGTAGGGGAGATAGAGAGAGAGAGAGAGAGAGAGAGAGAGAGAGAGAAAACAAACACCAATGGCAGAGAGTCACATTGATCATTTGCTTCCTGCATGACCCTGACTAGGGCCAAGTATCGAACCTGCAACCCAGATACCTACCCTTGACCAGGAATCAAACCCTTGACCTTTCAGTCCTTGGGACGATGCTCTAACCGCTGGCCAGGGCTGGACTGGTTTTTTAATTGTGTACATTAAAAGCCCACTATAACTATGTTGAATTTAACTAAGTTGACAATTTGACTTTTAGATGGATTAAATTATGTTTTTACTTTGGATGGGTTTTTTTTTTCTATAACCTGGTTTTCATTTCAGGGATCTTTCCAGATATTTGGCCTCCTAGCTGCCTTGTACAGCAAATAGTATTAATTAAGTAGATTATGTTCTCATGTGTCTGTGTAGAGTCCTCACCCTCCCTGACTTGTACAATCTACAAAAGGCAGATTTGCCTGGCTGGTGTGGTTCAGTGGATTGAGTGTCATCCCATGGACTGAGAGGTCCTGGTTCGATTCCAGTCAGGGCACATGCCTGGGTTGCGGGCTCGATCCCCCGTAGGGGGTGTGCAGGAGGTAGCCAATCGATGTATGTCTCTCACATTGATGTTTCTATCTCTCCATTCCTCTCTCTAGAGAATCAATATAAAAAAATTTTTTTAAAGGCAGCTTTTGTGCAAACAAGCAAGAAAGAGGAGCTGCCAAAGCCAGGAGTCTACCCCTTGGAGTGTACCAAGTGAGGGCAAACCCCAACTTAAATATATAACTATATACTGACTCTAGCCACAGAATTACAGTCTTCACTTGTCTGCAGGGCTAGGGGCGGTGGGTTGACACTAATAAACCAAGCACAAGAACCTTTATGTGTGTGGCTCAGGATGCAACCTCTAAATTGCAGGGGTGCTTTATCCCCTAAAAACAAGGTTAAGTTGGATGAGCTTAGCCCCTTACTTTTAATTCTGTTCTCCTTACTCCCAAAGTAGAAAATAGCAGAAGCCTACAGGCAAGCCAGGAAGATAATAAAGGAAAAGATCATTACTTTTGATTGATGATAACTTTTTATTTATTTATTTATTTATTTTATTTTTATTTTTTATTTATTTATTTTTTTTATCCTCACCCGAGGACATTTTTCTATTTTTTATTCAGGTAGAGTGGGAGGAGAGAGAGGAACAGAGAGAGAGAGAGAAACATCGATGTGAAAGGAACACATCGAGTGGCTGCCACCCGCACAACCGACCAGGGCCGGGGACAAACTGCAACCGAGGTACGCGCCCTTAGCGGGAACCGAACCCGGGTCTCTCAGGACCGCAGGCCGACGCTCCAACCGCTGAGCCAAACCGGCCAGGGCTGATGATAACTTTTTAATTACAAGTGGACCAATCACCAGTAAATGATTATTTACTTCCATTTATGGAACGTTTACTATATGCTAAGTACTCTATAAACACTTTTAACAAGTGTACACTATGTGAAAGTCAACAGAAGTATCTGTCCTTGAGCAACTTAAAATCTAGTTATATATTTACACACCCACACATTTATATGGTTCATGAAAGTACATATGTTTGCATTCATCTTTCAAAATAATTTTTTTTCAAGCTCCATTTCCCATTTAAAATTATTAAGTTCTCAGGTTTATGTAAACTATGTTAGTTCTCAAATGATTAGCCTTATAGATAACTGTATCAGAAGGAATTATTACAAATTTAGTGAGCAAATAATATCAGATACACACTTTATTTTTAGAGGACAGTACAAGGGTTTCTTCCTTAATGCTAGAAGCCATTGGTGTTATGCTCTTTTGGAAAAGACAAACTCAGACTAAACAAGAACTTTATATAAATTTCATAATGATTGCTTTCCTTAAAAACATTTTTTTTCCTTTATTGATTTAGAGAGAGAGAGGAAGAAAGAAGAAGAGATAAATAGAAACATGGATTAGCTGCCTCCTACATGCCCCTCCTGGGGATTTGGCCCACAACCTGGTCATGTGCCCTGACCAGGAATCGAACTGGTGACCTCTTGATGCATGGTTCAACACTCAACCAGTGAGCCATACTGGCCAGGATAGATTGCTTTCCTTTAATTAAACCTTGTTCTTCTATTTTGTAATAGTTGTGGTTTTGTATATTAGTAAATGGTATCTCCCATACCTGTCTCCCAAAGCAAAGTTCTGCATTTCTGACAAACATTGCAGAGATAAATGTTGTCATACTCATCTTTTATTGGTGAACCTGAACTTTGCTTCTAGAAGACTGATAGTAGAGGCTTGATTGAGATGTCTTTGAATTATCTCTAGAGAGTCATGTAAACTTTTACCTAGCATATGAATTCACATGATATTCAATACTAATATTAACATATACATGTATAGAGAAAATATAAGAATTTTGTGGTAGAAAAAGGTGAGCTGTAGATTTTAATCATATGCTGTTTATCCTAAGATATAATTTTATTAGGAATAATGGAAGCAATAACTAACACTATTTAAACCTCCACTTTAGCTCCTGTGCAGACTGGGCTGTGTGACTCACAATGTTTCCTGTTTCCCTCAGCATCGGCGCCCTGACTGGACTGGGAATCGCTGCTCTTGTTTTACTCGCCTTTGTCATCAGCGTCTGTGTCCTTTGCTACTTATTTCTGTATACAAAGCCTCAAAGATTAGACACTGGCCTTAAACTTCAACACCTAGAGGCTTCTTCCACTCAAGAAGGTAATCAGTATCCATTATTTGTAGCCAATTACCTGTACTCTGTTCAAAAGAATAACCTGTACCTGGGTAACAGATCATGAATGTTTTTGAAAAATTCAACTCATTATGTGTCTTTGTAAAAATTCACGTTAAATGAGGCCACAATGATGAAATACCTTAGAGAAATTGTGCCTATGGAAGAATAGCAGAAGGATGTAGATATTCTTGTGAAAAATAATACATTGATCCAATAAATCTACTTGAAGATATTTATAACTCTTTCCGTTGTGAAGGTTTTATCTTCTTGGAAGTTTTTGAAATATATTTTTATTGATGTTTTAGAGAGAGAGGAAGGGGAAGAGAGAGATAGAAACATTGATGTGAGAGAGAAACATTAATAGGCTGCCTCTTGCATGCCCCCTACTGGGAATTGAGCCTGCAACCTGGGCATGTGCCCCAACCAGGAATTGAACCAGGACCTCTCAGTCCATGGGATGACGTTCAATCCATTGAGCCACACCAGCCAGGCTCTTCTTGAAATTTTTAAATTTTGTTTTTGATGGAACCACAGAAGTCAAATAAATAGAGAAACAACATACCTGATAATGAATTCTCAGTGTTGCGTACTCCAGAATGGTTAGTCTATGGCCAGTTAAGCATTTACCTGTGCGTCTATGGTGTACAGAATTCAGAGGAGACAAAAAATAATTCAGAGGCAAATAAAAGAAACATAAAAATAGACAAGAGACAGTTTCTGTTCTTGAATAGATTATGAACTAATCAACATATAGTGGTGTGTGCAGTGTGACTATAAAGTAGAAAGAAATTTTTATGTATATATGGTTTGTGGAACTGGGTCTCATTGTTATCTCAGTCTTGAAGTGCTACACAAATGCTAATTGTTATAATTAACAAACTCAGAAAGAATTGTTAATATTTTGTGAATATAAATTCCTATGCATGTATTTAAAGAGTAGGAATCATGCCTTGGCCAGCGTGGCTCAGTTGGTTGGAGCACCGAAGGGTTGTGGGTTTGATTCCTGATCAGGGCACAATCCCAGGTTGTGGGTTCTACCTCTGATTGGAGCACATATGGGAGGCAACTGATTGATGTTTCTGTCTCACATCGATGTTTCTCTTTCTCTCCCTCTAAAATCAATAAAAACATATCTTCAAGCGAGGATTACAAAAAAAAGTAATAATCATGAACTGTATTTTGATATATATTTCTCATATATTTTAATCAAAAATTAGAATAAGACACAAATACTTTCATTTAAAAAGAACATTTTAAAGTTATTTTTTTAATATTTAGAGAATGCTGTGCTTATGTGCTCTTTTTCAGCTGAATCCTGAAATTTATATTTATGGAGCACATGGTCTGCAACCTTTTAAACCCACTGCTGCTGCCTGATGGCGTTAGCTCTGTTTCCTTCCCTGTGGGAAGCTCTCTCAGAGGGCATGCTGTGTTTCAGAGCAAGAGGCCCATGTCAAGTCTGTGGCGTCCTCTTTCTGAAGCACTTTCTGAAGTTTGGAGATTGCATGGCGGAGTTGTTATGGGTTAGACCCTATTTCTCCACAGGCAAAATGAAACTGGATTAGCGATTATGAAATTATCAGATGATAGAATTAGTGTTTGTCTCAATTGCTTAGATATTGTAAGGTGCCGGTTCTTGAGTTTTACTGTGCATAAGAATCACCTAGGGAGCTTGTAAAAATGGCAAACTCCAGACTCTGCTTTTTAAAACAAATAGCTCCTCTTCCTACTCTATCCTTACTCCCCTGCTTTCTACTCTCCAAAGAACAGCCTGTTAAAACCAAAGTCGGCCATGCCATTTCTCTGCTCAAAACCCATCACCTCCCATCTCTCTCAATAGATATGGCATCTTTACTGTGACCTCTAAGCTTTGTAGACTGCCCTCTTCACCCTTCTTTCTCTCATCCCCTATGCCCAGCTACATTGGTCTCTTTGTTGTGTCTTGAAACTCCTGCCTCAGGGCTTTTGTACATGTTGTCACCATTGTCTAGAATGTTTTCCCTTTAGATGCATGCACAACTTGCACTTGCACTATCTTTAATTCTTTACTAAAAGTCACCCTCCCAGGGAGTTCTTCCCTTGTCACTCTATCTACATTTTAAACTCCCCTCCCACATTTCCTGCTTTATATTTCTCCTAAGCATTTACCACTAGTATACAATATATTTTAGTTTTCTGTTGTCTAACTTTTATCCCCTCCAACTAGAAAGTAAGTTCTAAGAAAGTAGTAAGTTTGGGCTTGTTTCTTCACTACTGTATTCCGAGTACCTCGGAACATGTAACAACTGTTTGCTGAATAAATTGAATGGAGTAGCACTGCACCTCTACTGCAGGTGGTCAAAGGATCATGTGTATTGTCACCATCCCAGTCATCAAACATCATTGAGTGCCTTCTCTATACAACGCACTGTGCTAAATAAAAATTGGTTATTTTGCTGGTTTATCTTAGGGTCTGCTCCAAATGTTACTTCATGTTGGCTCTGAGAACCTGGCAACAGAATTAGTAGGCCTGTTGATTCAAGTCATGTAGTCTTACTGCAATTTAGCAAAGGAGTTCCATTAATGCACTTCCCATGTAGTTAGATGAGGTTGCTGTCTTGCAATGAAATGTCCCTACTCTGCCCCTCTTAAAAACATTATGTTTATAAAGTCAGCAAATTAATTTAATATACCTTTGCTACTGTCAAGGCAGGATTGTATATGCTCACTGCCTTCTTGCTGCTTTCACAGAGTGATTTGGGTCCCTTGGATTAATTTTAACCAAATCAGACATAGTGGAGAGCCCAAGACAAAATACGTGATCCAAATATCTCTTGAATGGGAAGAGAAAATGGTTTATATTTGAAGGTGGCCTTTTGACATAATAATTAAAAACATTGCTGTGTATGCTGTAAATATACATGCTCCACTCCAATGATTCTCCCACCTAGGAATACCTGTCAGGTTTCTAGCTATTAAGAAAACAAGTCTTGCCCTGGCCGGTTTTGCTCAGTGGTTAGAGTGTTGGCCTGAGAACCAAAGAGTCTTGGGTTTGATTCCAGTCAAGGGCATGTATCTTAGTTGCTGTTCAGTCCCCAGCCCTGGTTGGGGTTGTGCTGGAGGCAACCAATTGATGTGTCTCTCTCACATCAGTGTTTCTCTCTGTCTCTCTCTCCCTCCCACTCTATCTGAAGATAAATGGAAAAATATCCTCGGGTGAGGATTTAAAAAAAAAGAAAACAAATCTTTACTCCATTTAAGAAATGCCTTCAAGGTTATGAACATGGTAAAATAGTTACACAATAATTAAGCAAGTAAACATATATCAGAAGAAACTTGGTTTCACCAGTTATCACTCCTTTCTTTCAAAACTTTCTGTTCTTAAGAGGCAAACTTCCATAATTTTATTTATTTATTTTTATATTTTATCTTTTCCCATCACCATTTATCCCCCTACACCCTCTCTTCTACCTCCAGTCACCCCCCAATCACCACAAGTACTTATGCTGTCCTTGTCCATAAGTACTTTTACTCTTTTCTTCTTTTTTTGCACAATCAATCCAAACCCCAGTACTCACCCCCCACCAGAGCTGTCTGCCTGCTCTGTATCTATGAGATGGTCTCTAGTTTGCTTGTTAGTTCATTAAATTCCACATATGAGGGAAATCATATGATACTCGTCTTTCTCTGACTGGCCTATTTCACTTAGCATAATGTTTTACAGGCCCATCCATGATGTCGCAAGGGTAAAATTTTTTTCCTTTTTAAGGCCTAGTATATTCCATGCTATAAATATACCACAGTTATTTTTTCTACTCATCTACTAAGGGACACTTGGGCTGCTTCCATTTTGGCTATTGTAAATAACGCCGCAATGAACATAGGAGTAAATATATTCTTTCAAATTAGTGTTTCGGGTCCCTTGGGATAAATTCCCAATAGTGGAATTGCTGAGTCATAAGACAGTTCCAGTATTAATTTTTTTAGGTAAGTCCATACTGCTTTCCACAATGGCTGCACCAATCTGCATTCCCACCAACAGTACACAAGGATTCCTTTTTCTCCACAACCTTGCCAACACTTGTTGTCGATTGATTTATTGATGGTAGCCATTCTGACAGGTGTGAGGTGATACCTCATTGTGGTTTTAACTTGTATTTCTCTGATGATTAGTGACACTGAGCATTTTTTCATATGTCCTCTTTGGAGAAATGTCTATGCAGGTCTTTTGCCCATTTTTAAATTGGATTTTTTTTTTTTTTTTTGGTGTTGAGTTTTATAATAAGTTTTGGATATTAACTCCTTATTAGACATATCAGTGAATATGTTCCCCATTCAGTGAGTTGTCTTTTCATTTTGTTGATGGTTTCCTTTGCTGTGCAAAATCTTATTAGTTTGATGTAGTCCCATTTGTTTATTTTTTCTTTTGTTTTCCTTACCAAAGGAGATATATCAGAAAAAATATTCCTACAAGAAATGTCCAATATTTTACTGCCCGTGTTTTCTTCTAGGATTTTTATGGTTTTGAGTCTAACATTTAAGTATTTAATCCATTTTGAGTTTATTCTTGTGTGTACTATAAATGTGGTCTGGTTTCATTTTTTTGAACATATATGTCTAATTTTCCCAACACAAATTATTGAATAGACTATCTTTAGCCTATTTTATGTTTTTGTCAAATATTAATGACTATAAAGGCATGGGTTTATTTCTGGGCTTTCTATTCTGTTCCATTGATCTATTTTTATGCCAGTACTCTGCTGTTTTGATTTCTGTGGCCTTGTAGTATAGTTTGATATCAGGTGCGTGATTACTCCAACTTTGTTCTTCTTTCTCAAGATTGCTGTTGCTATTCAGGGTTTTTTGTTGTTCCACATAAATTTTTGGAATGTTTGTTCTAGTTCTGTGAAATGCATTGTTGGTTATCTTGATAGGAATTGTGTTGAATCTGTAGATTGCTTTGGGTAGTATGGACATTTTAATGATGTTAATTCTTCCTATCCAT